GGCGGAGCTGTAGGTGGTGGCGACGGCGGTGGTGCGGCTGACGGTGAGGGAGACATCGTCGGCAGTGCCGACGGGGGTGGGGGCGATGGTGTCGGCGGTGCAGGCGGCGGCGGCGAGGGCGGCGGCGCGGCCGGCGGCGAGGGCGAGAGTGGCGGCAAGCCGGACGGGGGCGGTGGCGATGGCGGGGGCGGGGCCGGAGGCGGCGGCGAGGGCGGCGAGGAGGGCGGCGGTGGCGAGGGTGGCGGGGCGGCTGGTGGTGAGGGCGAGAGCGGCGGCAACCCCGACGGAGGCGGGGGCGAGGGCGGCGGCGGTGTGGGAGGCGGCGGTGGAGTGGGCGGTGGCGGCGAGGGAGGTGGCGGTGACGGCGGCGGCGGCGAGGGCGGCGGCGCGGCCGGCGGTGAGGGCGAGAGCGGCGGCAAGCCGGACGGGGGCGGCGGCGAGGGTGGCGGCGGGGCCGGAGGAGGCGGCGAGGGCGGCGGCGAGGGTGGCGGCGGCGAGGGTGGAGGGGCGGCTGGTGGCGAGGGCGAGAGCGGCGGCAAGCCCGACGGAGGCGGGGGTGAGGGCGGCGGTGGCGAAGGTGGCGGCGAGATCGGCGGCGGCGAGGGCGGCGGCGCGGCCGGCGGCGAGGGCGAGAGCGGCGGCAGGCCGGACGGGGGCGGCGGCGAGGGCGGCGGCGGCGCTGGTGGCGGCGGCGAGGGCGGCGGCGCTGCCGGCGGTGAGGGCGAGAGCGGCGGCAGGCCGGACGGGGGCGGCGGCGAGGGCGGCGGCGGAGCTGGGGGTGGTGGCGACGGTGGAGGGGGCGAAGGCGGGAGCGAAGACGGTGGCGGCGGCGACGGTGGGGGCGGCGAAGGAGGTGGGGGCGAGGGCGAGGGTGGCGGCGACATTGGCGGCGGTGGGCTGGGCGGCGGAGGTGACGGCGGAGGTGACGGCGGTGGCGCTGCTGGCGGCGAGGGCGAGAGAGGCGGCAAGCCGGACGGGGGCGGTGGCGATGGCGGTGGCGGGGCCGGGGGAGGTGGCGAGGGCGGCGGCGAGGGTGGCGGCGGCGAGGGTGGCGGCGCGTCTGGTGCCGAGGGCGATAGCGGCGGCAAGCATA